AGTAGCAAAAAGACAAACAACCCAATTAAAAAATGGGCAAAAGACTTGAATAGACATTTCTCCAAAGAAGATATACAAATGTCCAACAAACACATGAAAAGATGTTCATCAACACTAGTCATTAGGGAACTGCAAATCAAAACCACAATGAGATACCACTTCACACAGAGTAACATGGCTATAATCAGAAAAACAGACAGGATGTGGAGAAACTGGAACCTTTGTGCATTGCTAGTGAGAATATAAAATGATGCAGTCACTATGAAAAACAGTTAGGCAGTTTCTCAATATGTTAAACATACAATTACCACAGCACCCAGCAATTTCACTCCTAGGTATATATACAAAAGAACGGAAAGAAGGAACACAAACAGATAGACTTACACCAACATTTATTGCAACATGTTTCACAGTAGCCAAAAGGAGGAAACAACCCAAATGCCCATCGGCAGATGGATAAGTGAAATGTAGCACATCCATATTATGAAATATTACTCAGCCATAAAGAGAAATGAAGTTCTGATACATGCTATGACATGGATGAACCTTTTCTCTGATTATAACTTTTTATATAGTCCTGATTTTTGGAACCATGTTAGTATTGTACATACTAAAATAAAATACACAAGGCTAGAGGTAATCATAAAACTGAATACAAATAGAAACAAATGAACCAAACCATATTGCAAATGAAAAATATGACCACACTGAAGGGGTCAAATTGGAACTAACCCAAGTAACTTTGAATACAATATTTGAACTATATACCCTTATTCTAATGACAAAAAAAAAAAAAAAAGAGTTCTAATCATATGTTGTTGTTAGGTGCTGTGAAGTCAACTCTGACTCATAGAGACCTTATGTACAACAACAAAATGTTGCCTGGTCCTGTGCCTTCTTCACAATCATTGCTATGTTTTTGTTGTTACAGCCACTGTTTCAATACATCTAATTGAGGGTCGCCCTCTTTTTTCTCTGACCCTGTACTTAACCAATCATGATGTCCTCTAGCAATTGGTCCCTCTTGATGATGTGTCCAGAGTAAATGTTGAGATCTTATTTTGTAGGCTGCTTTTCCACAGAAGCATGGGATAGGAATTCTGGAAACTACTTCATGCAAGTAAATTCTAAACTTGATCAAATAAGTAAATGTATTGTGACTAATGGGAGTTAGGTTTTTCTCTGTTGGAAAATGGAGTTACAAAGATCCTTGGAAAAATCCTTGGGAAAAAAAAAAAGAAAATTCAAGAGAGCAGTTAGAAGTTATTTTTGACTTAATGAAAATGAAAACTCAACACATCAAATTTCATGGAGTGTAGTAATAGCAGTATTTAGAGCAAAATTTACAGCAATAAAGTTATATCGAATTCCTGGATAGTGCAAATGGTTAATGTTCTTGGCTGCTAACTGAAAGGTTGGAAGTTCAAGTCTGCCCAGAGGCACCTTGAAAGAAAGTCCGGGTGATCTATTTATGAAAAATCAGTCATTGAAAACTTTATGGAGCACGGTTCTACTCTGACACACATGGGGTCGCCATCTACTTCCACATTAGGAAATTAAAGAAAGAAGAGCAATTTAAATCCAAAGTAAGTTGAAAAAATGAAATAAGAAAGATTAGAGTGGAAATCAATTAAATAGAAAACAAAAATAATATAAAAAAATCAAAAGTGGGTTATTTGAAATCAATAAAATTGACAAAACTCTAGCCAGACTGATCAGGTAGAAAAAAGAGAGAGAGAGAGAACATAAATCACTACCAATTCTACAAATACTAAGAAGATTATAAGGGCATATTATAAAAAACATTTTGTCACAAATTTGAGAACTTACAAGAAATGGAAAAATTTCACGAAAGGCAAAAACTTTCAAACTCACTCCAGAAAAAATAAATAACTTGAATATTAAAGAATATGAAGTAGTAATTGAAAAATTACCACCAGAAACAAAACAACCAAACCGAAGCTAAAAAGACAAAAATCTCCAAAAACCCATTGTCATCAAGTTGATTCCAGCTTATGGTGACCCATGTGTTATGGAGTAGAATTGCTCTATAGGATTTTCTTGCCTATAATCTTTACAGAAGCAGATAGCCAGTTCTTTATTCTGTGGCACCACGGGGTGGGTTTGAACTGTCAGCCTTCAGGTTAGTAGTCAGGTACGAATCATTAACACCACTCAGGGACCTCAAAAACCTCCAGGCCCAAATATTCAGCCAAGCATTTAAAAAAAAAAATGAAACAAATACTATCAATTCTACATAAACTCTTCCAGATAATTGAAAAGGGAGCGGAATACATTCTAACTTATTTTATGAGACCTCATTATTACAGATAAAAACTACAGAAAAATACCCCTTATGAACAAAAAAGAAAATTAAAAAAAAAATTTAAATAAAACCCAACAAATATATGAAAAGACTAATGTATCACAGCCAAGTGAAGTTTATCCCAGGAAGACAAGCTTGGGTTTAACGTATGAAAACCAACGTATTTTACTATATTAACAGAATAAAAATGATACAACGCCCTCAACAGAAAAATCATTTGATAAAATAGGACACAGGGTCACTATGAGTTGGAAGCAACTTGACGGGATCTAACAACAACAACAACAATTTCCATTACTGATTAAAAAACCCTCAGAAAACTAGGAATAGAAGAGAACTTACGAAGTAATAAAAGGCAGTAAAAACCCAATAACTAACATCATAATTAATTGTGAAAGACTGGAAGTTTTACTCGTATGTTTAGGGAAAATGCGAGCATGCTCAACATTAACATTGTACATGAGATTCTGACATATACAGTAAGGCAAGAAGAAGCAATAAAAGCATCCACCTTGGAAAAAAGTAAAACTCTCATTCTTTGCATATAGCATAATCATCAATATGGAAAACCTGAATGATTCCACAAAACACCTACTTGAAAAGTTCAGTGAATTAAGTAAGGTTTCAGGATAAAAGATCAATATAAAAATATATTTTATTTTTAATGCATTAGCAATAAAAATTGAAAGCAAAATACCACATCCAATAGCATCAAAATTATGAAGTACTTAGGGATACATTTAATAAAAGATCAGTAAGGCCTTTACAAATCATTGATGAGATAGTTTAAAGATGACCTAAATAAATGGTGACCTATGCCATGTGAATGTAGTGAAAGACTTCGTATTTATTAAGATGACAATTACCCCCAAATTGATTTATAGATTCAATACAATCCTAATTAAAATCTCAGAAGGTTTTTCTTGTAGAAGCTGATAAGCTTATTCTTAAACACATATAGAAATGCAAACAAACTCAAAAGCCTACCTTACTTTAAAAAAGAACAAAATTGGAGAAATAATACTACCTGATTTCGAGACTTTTTTTAAAGTAACAAAATCAAGGCAGTGTGATATTGGTATAAAGATAGACAAAGGGGTCAATGGAACAGAATATATATCTACATATACATGGTCAAATGATTTTTGACAAAGATGCAAAGGCAATTTAGTGGATAAGGGATTATCTTTTCAACAAATGGTGTTCTAACAATTAAATATCCATATGCAAAAAAAAAGGAAAAGGAAACACTTTGATCCATATATCGGATATATAAAAATCACTAAATGCACAAATTACCTCAAAACTAATCATAAGCCTGTATCTAAAATTTTAAATTATAAAAACTTTTAGAGGAAAACATAAGAGAAAACCACTGTGATCTTAGGCTAAGCAAAGATTTCCTTAGATATGAAACCAAAAGCATGATCCATAAAAGAAAAAGGATATCTTGGACTTCATAATAATTTAGAACTTCTACTCTTTCAAAAATGCAGTTAAAAAAATGAAAATACCAGCCACACACTGGGATAAAATATTTACAAGTCATGCATCTGATAAAGAGCTTTTATCTGAAGCATATAAAGATCTCTCAAAACTTAAAAAGAAGAAAGAAACAAAAAGTCTAATTAAAAAAAAAAAAAAACTTGGCAAAAATTTTGAACTTCACCAAAAATGAAATACAAAAGGATAATAAGTACATGAAAAGACATTCAGCATCATTAGTCATTAAAACCAAATCAAACTCGTTGGCATCAAGTCGATTGCAACTCATGGCGACCCTGTGTGTGACAGAGTAGAACTGCTCCATAGAGTTTTTTTTACTGTAATCTTTACAGAATTAGATCTCCAGGCTTTTCTTGAATGGCCTAACTGGAGTTGGGGTTCAAACTGCCAGCTTTTAAGCTAGTAGTCAAGTGTAAATGATTTTTGCCATCCAGGGACCTTGTTAGCCATTAGGGGGATACAAACTAAAACCACAGTGGAACCTTTGTATATTAGAATGTCTAACATTTAAAAGGCTGACTAGATTAAGTGTTGTTGAAGATGTTGAGCAAATGAAACATTACTGGTAAGTATATAAAATTGTATAGTACAACCACCCCTGCAAAATCAGTTTTGCTATATAAGGTGACATATTGATAGGTTCTGGGGATTAGGATGTAAAAATCTTTGGGGTCCATTTTTCTGTCTACCACAGCAGGTAACATGGCTTTTGTTCTTATGCCAAATCACTTAGTTGTGATTACCTGAGAAGACATGCATGTCAACCCCACTGCCATTCACACAAACATCTTTTGTTCCTCGTTGGCTTACTTTGCATTAACATATATTAGGGAACTTTTTGAAACCCAGATGAAAATTGTACATCCTTTTGCAAATCATATTCACATAATGTATTGCTTACAATCAAAACATAAAATATTTCTCTGCCCTAGAGGATTTCTTCTGGATCAACAAAACAGCAATGGGAATGAGAATCTACAAAGTAGAAAAGAAGTCTGATTAATCCACCTAGAAAATCACATTTTAACATTATCCAATTTGAATTATCAAGTCCGAAGGCCCATGTTTCCATAAAAGTTGTCAATCCAAAATCACAGATGACTTTTTCTTTCCTATGAATTTTAAAAAAATTAGATGTTTTCTTGCCAAGACTTAAAAGTTTGCTTACCTGAAACAACAATTTGTGCCAAAGTGGAGGACACCAGGACAAAAATGGTCACGTGGGGACTGGAAGCCATTTGCTCTTATCTATTATCTTGCTTTGGTGAGGCCTGCGGAAATGCTTAAAATGGTTTATTACTAATCCTCTGCACAGGTTGGCATACCAAATATAAGGGACTCCATTACCCTGAGCTGGTGCTATTCCCATAAACTTGGTTGTGGTGGTCTCACACTGGCCTGGTCTTCAGGAATTCAGCCCTGATAGGGCCTTTCTGCTCTAAAGCAGAGAAGAGAAAACCATAAAATAATCTTTTTTTTTCCTGCCAGCAGCCAGTATATAATCACAGTCCTGGCCTAGAAAAGGAATTAGGCTCAGGACACTATATTTCAGCTCTTACCGGGGCTGACCCCAAGGATGTTACCTAGAAATAGAGTGACTCTATAATTTAGCATTCAAACTGGGACACTCTTGTTAGTGAATATGGGAACTTACAGAATTATCAAGAATTCTGGGGCACATATTTATATATACATATATTCCCCCTTTGTATCACATTTTCCTTTGAATTGATTTATTGAAATAAGTGAGATGCTAGAAACCATAGAGGATTTGGAGTTAGAGAGACCTGAGTTCAAATTCTAGCACCAACACTTCTTAGCAGTGTGGCAGTGTGGACCTCAGAAAAAAGTACCAACTCCATTGGATATTGAGAGGATCAACTGCTATGAACACGATGAAAAGAGCTTAAATATATTAAATTGGCAATTTGTTTATTTAGCCACACTTTTCTTTGTAGGGATGGAAATATTTAGGCCCAGAGAGAACATACTTTCTCCCAAATTCATTTCCTCAACCCCCCCGGCCCCATGCTCTGCTGTATCTATTCTGTCTGTTCTAAAAATTGCAGCTGGTGCGCACTTACAGAAATGAAGGAGAGCTATATTAGGAGCGAAGTTTTTCTTACTCCCATGTGCAGTGGAAACAAGAAAATGCTGGAAGAAAAAATGAAGGGGAAACCCCCTGACCAAGAGGAAAGCTGAAGAGATCTCCTCACTGATTTGGAGTAAGGATAGGGGACATGAAGAGAGTTACCTGAACGAGGTGGCAGCAAAGTGTGAGCTGGCACAGTCACCCTGCGGTCACAGCTACCCTGGAGCAGAGTTGCTGTTCCATGAGTCTGTGGCCTGGAGCACTTGGAACAAAGGAGGCAGGATTAGGCTTGAGACTCCTTGCTCAGTTGAGTGACCACTTCCTTTTCATGAGTTTGACCTAAAGGTTATTTCTGAGTTTGATCCCTCTCTTGAAACATCTACTTTGATGTTTCACGCGCCAGCATGCTTGAAGGTTCTGTACCTGTAGTTTCTGATTATGCATCATGAGAACAAGAAGCCCCGGCGTTCTAAAGAGCTGATGATATTTGCCAAGCTGAATAATGACCTACCACATTCCAGACGATCTGGTTAACTTTCTTGCCAAATCCAAGGCATGTTCCAGTCTTCTCAGACTCCTCTGTGTCCTGAGGTCACTCGGTCTCTCCTGCTTCTCTGAACTCTTACTTGTTTTAGATTTCTAGGACACTGATTTCTCTCACTCTCCTGGGAAACTCCAACATCCTAACAGTTATGCAATATCCCAGCCTCTCAATTTCTCTACTTGTTATCCTCTAACAATAGTCTCTGGGTGGTGCAAATGGTTTGTACTCGACTACAAAACCTAACAGTTGGCGGTTTGAACCCACATAGTGGCACCAGGGAAGAAAGGCCTGGCAATCTGCTTTCATAAAGATTATTTCCAGGAAAACCCTATGGAGCAGTTCTGCTCTGTAACACATGGGGTCATCATGAGTCTTAATTCACTTGACAGCAACAGGTGTAGTTTGGTTTCCTCCAACAACACTTATCTACACTACACCTCAAATTAAAAAAAAAAAAACAAAACCCATTGCCCTCAAGTCAATTCCGACTTATAGCGACCCTATAGGACAGAGTAGAACTGCCCCATAGAGTTTCCAAGGAGGGCCTGGTGGATTCGAACTGCTGACCTTTTGATTAGCAGCCATAGCACTTAGCCACTATGCCACCAGGGACATAGGCAAGCTCAAAATTTTGCCATTATCTGAAAAATTTCTGACTCACAGATTGTAAACTTTCCTAGAGTTTACCCCTTTTTCCATTTTGCATTTTCTTGCCAGCCTGAGTCCCAGAGCTTGAAATTTATATTTAACCCCTTGACATGACCTTACTCTCTTGACAACTGGCACCTCTGTTCTTCTCTCTTCCTTTCAAGATGGGATACATTCAGCTTCCTATTTTCCTTCTCCAGTCCCTGTTTGTGGAGTTAGGATAGAAAAAAAAAAATCCCATACAATGAACTCTACAATCCTCCTCTCAACATTCACTTACACCCTCTAGACACCTAAGGAAGCCTCTCACTTAATGTCCTGTTGCTATCTATACCACCAGTCACCACACCATTTCTTTTCTTTTACCCATTGTCTTCAGCTATCTGATCCCAGTCCCACCCACATTACTTTGCATGGAAAACATCAATTCTTCTTTACTGAGTAAAGAAACTTCCAGATAAACGATCCCACTTTTTTTTCCTTTACCTTAGAATTCTGAAAATTTCATCATCTACCTATTTTTCTGTTTGTCATCCCTCCTTATCAACTTATGTAGAGATCTACACATCCATTTATCCCTATCTTTTTGCCAGCACTTGGCAATGTGATCTACATTGCTCATCATATCTATTCTTCATAACAGTCCTATGAGGTATACACCACTCTAAACCTTGAATAAAAGAAAAAGAAACTGAGGCCTAGAGGGGAAGATACATTACAAAGCTACTGATGGACAGAGATGGGATAAACTCAGATTTACTCCAGACTCCATGTTCATCTACTTTCTCTACATCTTCTCTCAGAGAATGTTCCCTTCAATTTATTCTCCAACAGTCTTAAATCCATATCATTGATATATGGTGCCTTTCTTGGCCAGGATCTTTGATTTTCCCTCTTTAGATCTCCCTCTTTCAAAGCCAAAGATTCTTTTTAAATCTTTTTTTTTTTAATTGTTGTAGTTAAATGAAGTTTACATTTCAAGTTAGTCTCCCATACAAAATTTTTATACATACATTGTTCTGTGACCCTAATTGCTCACTCCATTCTGTGACAGCACACTCCTCCTTTCCACCTCTGGTTCCCCATGACCATTCAACCTGCTCCTAACCCTCTCTGCCTTCCCATCTCACCTCTGGACAGAAGCTGCCCCTTTAGTCTCTTATATCAACTTGACTAAGAGGCACACTCTTCATGAGTATCACTTTATGTCCCACAGTCCAGTCCAATCCCTGTCTGAAGAGTTGGCTTTGGAAATTGTTTTAGTTCTGGGCTGATAGAGAGTCCAGGGGCCATGCTTTCCAGGGTACCTCCAGTCTCAGTCAGACCATTAAGTCTGGTCTTCTCACTAGAATTTGAGTTCTGCATCCCATTCTTCTGCTGCTCCATCATGTACTCTCTGTTGTGTTCCCTGTCAGGACGTTCATTGGTGGTAGCCGGGCACCATCTAGTTCTTCTGGTCTCAGGCTGATGAAGTCTCTGGTTTATGTGGCCCTTTCTGTCTCTTCGGCTAGTACTTTCC